TATTTTGCGGGCTGAGATGAATGTGCATGATAAAGTTGATATCTTAAACGTGTAATTAAAATCAACTCTTGATACTGTGGCTCCAGAAAAGATAAAGAAAAAAAGGTTAGGGTTAAAGAAAATGCCATAGAAAAATTATCATATTTGTCAGTTGAGGAAATGTAGAAAATCAGTTCAACGTCTCTAGAGGAAAACTAAATTAACCATACATTATGAGATTTTGCTGTCTAATATACACAAATATAATAAAATTGTACATGTGGAAAGAGTCTTTTTATTCAAAAATCATTAATGAAAACAGCAGTAATCTTAGAAAACTCTTTTCTACTATAGATTCTTTTAAACAAAAAACAGCTAATTATTTCGACCAGTCTTCTGCAATTATGTCTGAGGATTTTGCTATATTTCTTATAGCAAAATAACCCAGATCAGAATCGATATTGTACAGATTGATCAATTTTGTGGATGAATTGGGAAGTTATCCACAAAATAAAATGGAAAGTTTTAGAAATATTAGTAAAGAAAATCTTATCTAAATCATATCTCAGTTAAAGTCCTCTTCTAGCTGTCTTGACCCTATCCCAACAGAATTTGTTAAAAAAAGGTTTTAAATTGCTTGATTGACTATGTCCTTGACATAGTAAATAATTCATTAATGACAGGAATTTTTCCTAATGTTTTTTAAAAAGCTGGGGTAAAGCCACTTAAAAAAAATAATAATTTGGACTCCACAGTTTTGAATAACTACAGACCAAATTCTAGTGTTACATTTTTTAGTAAGATTTCAGAAAAAGTTGTATTGCTACAGCTCAATCAATTTTTAGATGAGCATAGAATATAAGAAAAACATCAATCAGGATTTAGAAAAGGTCATAGTACAGAAACAGCTCTATTGAAAGTAGTAAATGACATGCGCTAACATATAGATAAAGGTAATGCTAATTTTTTAAAGTTGAATAAAGATAAAACCGAAAATCTTATTGTGGGCAAAAAACCCGAGGAGAGGATTGAAGCAGAATTGTGTTCTTTAGGTTTACAATCCAAAAAAGAATTAAAAGAACCTAGGTGTTATTTTCGATTGTGATCTTAATTTTAAATCTATTATTAATCAAGTTACAAGAACATGTTTTTATCATTTGAGAAATATTGCCAAAATTCGTTCTTTCCAATCTTTTGAGGATGCCAAGAAATTAATTCATGCTTTTATTTTTTTCTCGGCTTGATTTTTGCAATGCTATATTTACTGGTTTACCTAAGGGTTCTATAATGAAGTTGCAACTGATACAAAATGCAGCAGCCAGAGTTTTAATGAAATTGAAGAAAAAGGAGCACATCACACCAGTTTAAGTAGAATTACACTAGTTATCTCTGTACCAAAGAATAGATTTTGAGAATCTTTTATTAGTTTATAAAGCGCTACACAACATGACACCTTCCTACATTTCCGACTGTTTATCAAAATATAATCCAAACCGTTTGCTACGGTCTTCTAGCGCTGGACTTTTAGTTTACTCCTTAAACCTGATGCGATCTGGCGGCACTTCTTTAAGCCAATATGCTCCAAAAATTTGGAACTGCCTCCCTCATGAAGTGAAAGAATTTCCCAGTATTCATGTTTTTAAAAAGCGTGTTAAGACACATCTTTTTAAAATTGCATATGAATACACAAGTTTGTAAGGTTTACGCATTTTATCTATATTGTTGTAGGTTTATGTATGTATGCATTTTAGTGTTTTTTTTTTGTTGTTGTTTGTAAGGCACTTTGAGTTGCATGTATGCTGGAAAAGTGCTATACAAATAAAATGTATTATTATTATTATTATTATTATTATTAACTGAAACTTGGCAGCAGCCTCATGACTATTCACAACTTAATGATTTCACTCCATCTGGTTTTGATCTCTGTCAACCTCGCGATTGTTTATTGTAAGAAGTTGAAAGTTTTACAAGTATCCATTCCTGTTTTTTCCTCATTTCAATCCATAGTGTGCAAACTGCCAGGACCATTTCTCACCATCATTCCTCCTAAACTCCTAAGTTAATGACTTTGCTGCCTTACACATCTTTTTTACTCTATCATTCATTCATTAATTCATTCATTTTCTTTTTGGCTTAGTCTCTTTATTAATCTGGGGTCACCACAGCAGAATGAACCGCCAGCCTATCTAGCATATGTTTTATGCTGTGGATGCCCTTCCAGCTGCAACCCATCTCTGGGAAACATCCATACACATTCTCATTCACACTCATAAACTATGGACAATTTAGCCAACCCAATTCCCCTGTACCACATGTTTTTGGACTTTTGGGGGAAACCGAAGCACCTGGAGGAAACCCACGCGAATGCTGGGAGAACATGCAAACTCCACACAGAAGCGGCAACTGACCGAGCCAAGGCTCAAACCAGCAACCTTCTTGCTGTGACGCAAGAACTAGCTACTGCGCCACCACGACACCTTTTTTACTCCATCATCAAATGTAATACTTCTGGTGGACTTTAATATATATATGAATAATATTAATCACTCTCCAAAAAAAAAAAATACTCCAATTTATCCACTCATACAAAAGCTTATACTCTGGATTTAATATGTTGCTCTGGTCTCATCCCCTCCTCCTGCACAGCTGATGAACTCCCCCATGACAGAACACTTTCTCCTCTTATTCAATCATACTGCTTCCTGATTTACCCCTGAATTGTGCTCATTGAAAGCTAAAGATCACCATCTTAAGCATCTCGGTCGTAAAAGTGGTAACACAATCCACAAAGAAATGTAAAAAACCCATATATTGCTTTATAAGGACTATCATCCAAACCAAATCCACCTGATACAATTACCTCCAACCAAGGCAACTCCAAGACTCTCTTCTTGACTTCTCTTGTTTGATAAAATTCTTCAACCCCCAGATTCTTAAGTATTTGTTCTTAGAAATCAACTTGAAGGACATATATTTTCATGAGCAAGCTCTCCCCTATGCAGAGCATCTCATTACTTGGAATAAAGCTGAACTCGGTTGCTTTTCTGCTGTGTTTCACCAACAAACATGCCACATAAGTTTGTCAGGAAAACAGTGCTGTCATGCCACTCTGATTATTACATTTGAGACCACTTCAGCACTGGCTTTGAAATCAAGTTCCCAGATTTGCATGGCAAGCCCACACACAAGGGGTGACAATCACTCCGCTGTTCCAATGTGCATTTGCTCCCTAGATGAACCATGTATTTCTACAGGCTGTCAAATTTTCCACTGTGCAATCAAACATCAGCATGCAGATGAAGAAAATAAAGCATAGAAGCAGATACAGTGTTGTTTAAAAAAAGAAATTCTGTCTATATTTTAATACAGCAAATGTTTCCCATTATTTAATTTAATAATAAATTTAGACATCTAAACTTAGATGGCTTGGTTAAAACAAGGTTAAATTTGAACTTTTATTGAAAAATCTAATAGACGTCTATGAATAGGCCAAAACTAAACTCATGAACAAATACGCAGGAATGAATGACTACACGTACACACTACACACACTGATTGATATGCTGCTAAAGAAACGTGTTTTCTTATATTAAAATAGCTGAGCTGCTTAATGTCTTTGTTGAAAGAGATTACACAAATCAAATGTTTTCAATAGCCTAATAAGAACATTTTTTTTTTGAGCAGTAATAATCTCATAATACAGGTTCGCTGTATTTTGATCAGTTAAATACAGTCTTGACAAACTAATCTTCATAATTACAAACTTCAGACTAGTAGTTTACTTTGTCTTAAAAAAAATATTGTAACGTAACGTTATAAGTTAATACGTTGACTTTGCCAGCACTGCCTCATATCCATCCAGCATGTACAGATTAAAATTTGACGAAAATAAGTTCCGTATTTGAAACCTTATTCAAATAAGTGTTTGGGTTACTAATTTAAATGCAACGGATAATTTGTGTAATTATGTACAGATTTACCTTAATGGGTAGGCAAATGTCTTGTTGGTCCAAGTAGCACACAAGAAGATCGAAACAAAGAACTGCAGGTCACATGTCAATTAGCCTATGGAGTGGAACGTTACTGCTCAACCAATCAAAGAGCAGTATAAATCAGACATCTATCATTCATAATAAATAAATAAATAAATAAATAAATAAATAAATAAATAAATAAATAAATAAATAAATAAATATAGAACATTTCAGTCCGAACACAAGAGGGCAGAAGAGAATCTTTTGGAAAAAATATCGTTATACTTTGAAAAACATTTTATATTTATAATAAATAAAACATTAATAAAAAGTACAAAACAATGTGTCAATAAAATAAATGTTGATGTTAACATGATTAAACAAAAAAGTACAACCAGAAAGACAAAATGAAATATTTTTTACAGAAATTAATGGAATCTTTAATGGAGTAAAATTAACCACTGATATAAAATATTCTAAAGCTATTAAAACTTACCATAACCTGTCTGTCACACACCATTAAGTGATATAAGGAATAATTTTCTTTTGATGAAACAAGCTCTTTTTTATGCTCAAAATAATATTTTTCCATTTAATTGCACACTGTATGAATTTCTTAACCCAGTAAGTTTAACATAGCTTAATTATAATTAAAATTGAATGGATATTACTTAATGGAATTAATTAATATTACTTACCGAACATTTAAAATTGACAAATAATTTATTTACCATAAAGCAGTTTGAATGCGGTGCATGTTCTTTTCCCACGTCTCAAAATCCATGCGTTCAACACAATGACTGTAAAAAATACCAACACCACACACACGCACGCACGCACGCACGCACACACACACACACACAAACTTCAACTGTTAAATCCTCTCATCCCTGCTGTGTGTGGTCAATGTCAGTGAGAGTTTAACCTTATTTCTCGCAGAACCACCCTCATTTAAAATAGACCTTTTCGATTGGCCACATGCCGCGACTATTCAAGGTAACCCCGCCTTCACATTCAGTAAAGTCTTCTGATTGGCCGCTTTTTATTGCTCCTCCTTTTGCCTTTTGACAGTAGGAGACGGCATAGTGAGTTTGTTATCCGTGGCTCACGTTTCATCAAGACAGAGAGAGATGAGTGGACAGACAGACACAATCTGACGACTTTATGTGCTACAAATTATCGGCTTGAGCAGGAGTGCAGACATGGAGTTCACGTGAGTATTTGTTGTCATGGAAAAGGGACAGACGGCGCAGAGAGTAGCGTTTTCTTGCGTTGCTTTAACTTGCTTTCTGTTTCTACGATGCCAGCAACATGTGTTGAACTTACTGTAGGCTACTATAGCTGTGAATTGTAATATTTTGAGAAAATAATATGCATGGTAGAGAATTCTCCATTCTTTGCATTGAACGGGCAGTTTTGTTTGGCGTTTGACGTGACGTTTCATATTGAGGTGAAGTTGGTTTGATATTCGAACATTAGTTCAGTGTAAACTTGTGACATGCTACCTATATTATTTACCATGGTACTTTGAATATTCAGTCTAGAATCACATGTTAATATGACTTCAAAACAACATTAGCACTATTTATTTGACTGTGAACAATGTATTTTGATAGTCATTGGCTGTTGATTTCACCATTTAGAATTTGCAAAGATTACTTTAATAAAAATATATTATTGAGGAGAAAGTCTGAATTTGTGGATGTAAAACCAACTTTACCTCAACACATTTCATAAAGAGAAAGCAATCATACCGCATATAAGTTTCTGCCTTAATCTGTGCTCATTCAGCAAAATCTAAACATGTATATTATATAGTCATTTTGTTTCTGCAACAAAATAGGTGAATTTCAGTTGACTTTTAATAGTAGCAGTGCACTACAAACATTCCTTCAGATATTTTCAAAAAATGAGCAGGGACAAATATGCTGTTATTATTAAAATCATATATTAGACTGAAATTCAACTGATAAGTTGAGATGATTCATGCCAACCTGACTTCATCTTTAGCTTAATTGCATTCTCATTCCATTTATGTTTTCCATTTATTCCTTCAGCAGATATTTTATTGGGATTTACTAACAGTAGTATCAACACCACTTTCAAAATGCATCAACATGACTACAAACAAGCCGTTTTATTTTGCGGTAATTCATTGTAACATGACAGCCCTGCTCCCTTCCTGAACGTCTGGAAACAGTTTATCTACACTTGCAGACTGTGCACTGACGCCTGTTCAAGGAAAATATGCCACTCTGATATAAGATGATGTGTGTGAGTGAGTTTTCAGTTTTTATCTTTTCAACAGTTAGATAGACCTTGGTTGGTGCTCCTTGCTCTGCTATTGTAAATCACTTAGGGTTTGCAACTTTAATGATCATTGAGATTGTATATAATCACCTGAAAATATTGCCACACACACACACACACACACAGAGATTGTTGTGCTAAGTTTTCTATATCACCACATTACTGTCAAGCCAGCAATTTGTCTAAAGTCACACACAACTTTAGACAATCATTGTTTGTCTTTCCCCAAAATTACACTGTCATAGGAAATTTTAGATCACAAACAAGATCAGTCTACATTTTTATGCCGTAAATCACACACAGTCAAGCAAATACTGTAGGCCTCCTCAGGAAACTGATTGGCCCAGTGTCCTGGTTTGCATACAGGAAAGCAGTGGCTCTTGATATTTTTAGTGGCACTAAAGACAGACTGTGGTCCATATTATAACACTTACTGTATAGAGACATAAAAGCCTAGACTAAAGTGGATATTTATTCATAACACTAGGTCCAGAAATAACTGTAAAACATATGCTTAACTGTAAAACATAAATTTACTTATGTAAACTTATGCTAGCATGGCGAATGTTTGCAGAGAAACAAATGGATAAATAAACACTGTACGCAACATACTGTATAACAGAAATTAATCAGTTTTATACATAGTTGAACATTAAAAGGATAGCTCACCTAAAAATGAAAAAGGTCAATGTTTAACTACTCCCAGGTTGTTGCAAACCTAGATGATTTTTTTTTTTTTTTTGCTGAACACAAAAAGTTTTTTTTAAGAATTTAGGTAACTAATCAATTTCTATTCTGCATTGACTGCATTTTTCTATAGTAATGAATTTGTATCTCTTCAAACTTTTACAGGTGACTTCTTTAAAGACTCATAAAAACCCAAACCATATGTTCGAGATTGCATACTGTCTGATACTACGTTGATATTACATGACCAATGATAATGAATTTTCTATAGTGTGAGTGGAAACTTCACCACTTATCTCTCCTGTTCCTGTGTCATTAAGTGAATTTAACAATTATAAAAAATAGTTGCTTACAGTGTTGAGAATTTAATTATATCTCCTGTAAGTTATCACACATGCAAAAGATGTTCCACACTTCATTTAGGGCCCTATCATACACCTGAAGCAATAAGGTGCAAGACGTGTATGATGCGATTATTATTATTATTATTATTATCATTATTATTATTTATTTTATTTTTTTGCCATTTTCTGACCAGTGTAACCCTAATTTTCAGATTTTTCACCATGTTGTTTAAATGGCAAATCCATTTGGCAGCTTTGTGGACTCATGGGTGGCTGGGCAATAAAAGAGGTGTGTTGAGGCGCATTGTTGGTATGTTGCTGTTCAGAGGAACTGAAATAGACTGCACCATTGACTAACTAAAAACTGGTCTAAAACCCAGCACAGAGCGCGTTAGCACCTATGCAGGTCCAAAACGTTTACACATTGCTGAAGACACACAGGATGTACAGCAATACACAAGTATCTTTACATATTAAAAATAATTCAAGGATTATAATGTTAAAAAAATATATTATAATTATTATTTATTTATTTATTTTCACTACCTCCATGTCAGGATGATTGTTTTTAGTTTATTCATGACAATTTGTATTATTATTAGTAGTATTATTTATTACATGTATATTTATATTTCTTTTAATATAAACAAGTTTAGATTTGTCCATCTGTTGGGTTTTAGAGATGTGCGTCTCTATATGGGGCATAAGAATAGGACGTGTGTTTGGATATAACTCAAGGGACAAAGCCCTGATGAGATGATTAGTGCTGATGAAAGTGGTGGAGGAGGGGCTGTGTCAGAGAGTCAGTCTTGTGTGGCATGGATTGTGATGGGCTGTAAATGTATGGCAAAGGTCATATGTCTGTATGGTGTCTGTGCATGCACCTGACTTTCTTTCATCTTTTTGATTCACTGAAGTACTTGTTTGTGTTTGAATATACTCATTTATTTAATTTTTTTTTCATGCCAATAATTTACTGGTAGTATTGTGTGACAAATAATTAACAAACTAATTGTGACAAACTAATTGTGTGACATACGCATGGGATGATAACTGGTTTCAAGGTTTGAAAAAGTCAAGGTTTTAAAACTGCAAAAATGTTTGGATATACTGTTCCTAAGGTACATGTACGATTTTTTCATGTAAGACAACACTATCTCCTGCAGAAAAGATAACCAAAGATGCCTTTTTGAATTTGTAAAGAAATCAGAGTTTTGAAACCTAATGAAGACAGCAGAAGTCAATGATTTATTTTCATTATTTCACCTGACATGTTTACTGTTCTGAAAAATGTTAAATGTTTCTCAAAATAAAATGTATTATGTTAAAAGGGGGAAAACCCAGACATTTAAAAATAATAAATTTTAGAGCAGTAATCACAGTACCGTCAAACCATGATGTTTTTATCCAAGGTTATCAAACTGTCAGAATCTTATACCAGCCCATGCCTAGTGACTATTAATTTAACAACTTAAATTTACAGTGCAGAAATTATAATTCTTTTGTCTTAAATCCTTCAAATAGTGCCTTGATGACAGTGATTGATTTAATTGTCTCTTGCTCCTGTTTTCTCTTTCTCATTAATTCACAACACTACAACACCGCAATACTTACTGTATGATCAAATTTAAACTGGGCTGAATCTATTTAGTCAAAATAACTGATGATACCATTATTTGTACCCAATTCATAATAGCTTTATCTTCAATGCTGGCAGACTGTCAATACCACTGCACCCTAAACATAATTAATAACATTCTAAATTAATTTCATCTGATTATAGGAACTTCATGTTTTCATGTGGTGCACATTAATAACTGCATCTTTCTGAAATGACCACAGTCATTTCAGAACAATCACAATCATATTTTTTATCAAGGGTGACCCGTCTGCTTGCAAAGGATAAATGTTTGTGCTTTTAATTTGGTGGGACAATGCAGCCTCTGCAGAGAAAACAGGTTTGCAAATGTGTTTAATTATAAATTAAATAATATGAGATTTGGCCCCAAAAAAAATCTTTAAAAAAATCTACCATTTTCTTATCCTAAACTGGTTTCAAAGTAGTTGTTTTTTTACCCTGACATTTAAAAAGCACATATTTCAGAGCAGTAATCACAATACAGTGATCCCATGATACTATGATATTTTTATTCAAGGTTATCATATACAGTCAGAATCTTACACCGGCCCATGTATATTGTGCACTCATACTTAATATAAAGTTCAGTTGAACTGACAGTTGACCTTTTCCCAGACTACAGTAGATGTCTGCCCTCTGCAATCTTGCCTCCCAGCTCATTGACCTCTATGATGATCCTTTACATAAAGTCATTGATTTGTTCCTCTCCCTTACTGTCTGTGTATGCAGACAAAATACAAATGCTCACACTAACACTTTTTACTTGTGTGTACAAACAATATGTGGTAAAATGCAATTGTTATACTGTAAAAGACAAATGGTTTCAAATGCAAAATAGATTTTATTACTTTGTGAACTTGGCTGTGATTTTAATTCTTGATAATTGATGATTAGCCATTAAAGGGATGTTTCACTTTCCGCTTAAAATTCAATAAGTAAATTCAGTAAAGTAGTTACTCACCTTTATGCCATTCCATAAGTATTTTGTTCATCTTTGAAGCGCAAATCAAGCTATTTTCAATTAAATTTGACAGCTCTCTAAGCCTCCATAAACTGCACTTGTGACAATAAATTCAGTATAGAAAGCTATAGTACCAAGAACCACTATGTTTTTGAAGCGATATGAGATTTATTTAGTGCGTTTAAAAAATGACTTTACTCAACAGTTTTTTCACTTCAGTTTTAGTTCTGGACACACACTTGTGAGAGAACTACACGTCATGCTGATGTGTA